TGTATATACGTATGTGTATGTGTATATACGTATGTGTATATGTGTATGTGTATATACGTATGTGTATATACGTATGTGTATATGTGTATGTGTATATACGTATGTGTGTATGTGTATATACGTATGTGTATATGTGTATGTGTATATACGTATGTGTATACGTATGTGTATATACGTATATATATACATGTGTGTATGTATATATACGTGTATACGTATATATACATACATACATGCATGCATACATACATGCATGCATGCATGCATACATACATACATACATACATACATAACCGTCTCCCTGTGTAGCTGCTGCTCTACTGATGAGAGGAGACACCTGCAGCTCTGCAACAGTCTGATTATGTCTGCAGCTGGTTCAGGGTGCTTCCCGTCAATGATGGCGTGTGTTTGTTTGTTTGTTGTGCGCTGCAGGCGTGCAGTCAGACAGCGACTCGTCGTCCGCAGTGAACAACAAGCTGAGCGGGCCGAGCAGCGTGAAGCCGAACCGACCCTCGCTGGCCAAGATCCTCCTCAGTCTGGATGGAAACTTGGCCAAACAGCAGGCTCTGTCTCACGTGCTGTCGGCCCTCCAGATCATGTATGCGAGGTACGTTTAGTCTGCAGAGGGTCTGACCGGTCCTCTCCTGGGGGGGTCACAAGACCACGATGCAACCAGTTCAGGTCTGGCTCTGGACCTTCACCCCTAGTCATCCCCTTTTCTTTTTTTAAATATTCCTTGTCATACTACACTCTCAGACATACACTGCACAGACTGATGGTATATATATATATATACCATCAGTGTGTGCTGCTGGTGACAGGACGGGTTGTGTGTTTCCTCAGGGATGCGGTGGTCGGTGCTCTGATGCCGGCCAGCATGATCCTACCGGCGGAGTGTCCTTCCAGCTCCCCGGTTCCGCCGTCAGACTCCTCATCCTCGTCCAGCGTGAGCGATGAAGAAGGTCCTCCTGTGCTGCCTGAAGCCGAGGAACGTGTCAGCCCCAATCCCTGGCAGGACAAGAAGGGAGAGGTGAGCATGACACCATGTAGATTCAGTAGAACTCTTCACCTCGTCTCTGAAAAACTTTTGTTTTGTTTTTCTTCTGTCTAAAGTGCAGCCTCAACCACATTTTGTGCTGATTTACTGTAAAACAAGAAACATGCAAAGTGCTCTTCCCCATAGTGAGCAGGTGTGCAGATGCAGCCATCAGCAAACTATATCTGGGTCCAACACGGAGACAACAGAAACTCTCACAGGGCTTTAGTCATAAATACAACTCCAAATAAGTTTTCTACCATAAAACAATCTTAAAGTTTGAGGTTGAGGTTCTCCTCCACAGTCAGGGTTCTACTACAGTAGATGAGTTGATAGAAACAGACAGGAGAACCAGCACGGGAGCAAAGTGATGTTCTGCTGTGGACGTATGTTAGACTCCTAACAGAATGTCTCTCAGTTGAAGTGAAGCTATATTCAGAATGTCTTCAGCTCTTTACCTTGCTGCTGGAATAAGCTCATATACATGTTTGATGCAGAGAAGAACTGAATTGTGTGTGTTGTTGTTTTGTATCTGAGCAGGCTCCCTCATCAGAGGACGCCGTCACCCCGTCATCAGCCATCACTCCCTCCGCCTCCGGAGCCTCCTCGCGTCCTTTCATCCCCGTCACCGATGACCCCGGAGCCGCCAGCATCATAGCCGAAACCATGACCAAGACCAAAGAGGCGAGTCCGTCCGACGTCTGTGAAGCCGCCAACCCCTCGGCAACGTGTACCTAACTCTGGTTTCATGTTTCATACTCCAGGACTCTGAGAGCCAGAGTAAAGTGGTCGGTCCGGAGCCTCAGTACCTGGACGAGTTCACCAGTCTGCTGGTGCCGGATGATACCCGCGTGATGGTGGACCTGCTCAAACTGGCCGTGTCCTGTCGCTCTGGGGAGAAGGGCAAGGAGGTCCTGTCTGCTGTGCTGTCTGGGATGGGAACGGCTTATCCTCAGGTGACTTTACTGTTTCTACAGCGACCTCCAGACTCAGAGGATGGTGGTAGCAGCGCTGACATTGTCGGGGGGGGGGGGGCCCTCTCTCGCTGTGTGTCTTCGCAGGTTGCTGACATGCTGCTGGAGTTGTGTGTCACCGAGTTGGAGGATGTTGCCACGGACTCGCAGAGCGGCCGACTGTCCTCCCAGCCGGTCGTTGTGGAGAGCATCCATCCGTACACAGACGACACCTCCACCAGTGGAACCGTGAAGATCCCAGGTGAGAGGGATGAGACGAGGGAGAAAGTTGTCAGTTTGGAGGCTCGGTCAAGTCCAGTGTGGGTGGTTGATGAACCCATGTTTCTGGGGTTGGGGTGGTGTGGATTGGGTTTCATAATGAGTCATCGGTGCGTATTGTTTTTCTTGTGATCGAAGCATTTCCATATTGTGTAAAATCCAAAAGTCAAACATAATTGAAACTTCTAAAATTCACGTTTTTGTGTAATGAAATATTCTGCTCTAACACATTTTTTTTTTTAGCGTCTAGTGTTTTCACAGCTGTCCGCTCGCCCCACACAAAGGGAGGCAACACCTGTATTAACGGGGCGGTCTAACAGCAACATAACTTATATTTAAATTACCACAAGTACACATAATCTACTTTTTTCCCCCTTTTTTTTTTTACATTCAAGCTTCATTCTAAAACCTCAATAGAAGATTTGAATGTAACGTTGCAGCCCTACGCTCTGCTGTAGTTTGCATTGGTTGAATGTTTTCACTTTGAGCATCCTGAATGGACCGGACCGTGTTCAGGAGATCATCGTGACTCCTCTCTCGGATGCAGACCACATCTCTTGTTTGTGTCGTAGGAGCCGAGGGTCTGAGGATAGAGTTCGACAGACAGTGTTCCACCGAGCGACGCCACGACCCGCTGACGATCATGGACGGAGCCAATAGGATCGTCTCTGTCAGATCAGGTGATGAGAGGGAGAACCTGAAGCTGAACGGTCACTGAGCGAATGCTGACGGAGCAAAAATATAAGATGTGGTGTCACTGCGTTGTGCGTTTCAGGTCGGGAGTGGTCCGACTGGTCCAGCGAGTTGAGGATCCCCGGAGATGAACTCAAGTGGAAATTCACCAGCGACGGCTCGGTGAACGGGTGGGGCTGGCGCTTCACCGTCTACCCCATCATGCCGGCTGCTGGTGAGCTTCCAACACACATAACACTCTCATAATTCATCTCTAATATCTGTTTTATATTCATGTGAAAACATCTCCTTCAAACTACTGTATTCATTGTAGTTTATCACCAAAACTACATTTTACAGATGACATGTGAACACATCATGATAAGGTTATAATGTACCTTCAGCCAGTACTCATGTTCACTGAGCAGAGCCTGAAGGCATCATAATGTAATTGAAGTGAACCTCCGTTGGTTAGCCGTTAGCGGTGCTGCTAACGTTACTAGCTCTACTCCTGTTGGTTAGCCGTTAGCGGTGCTGCTAACGTTACTAGCTCTACTCCTGTTGGTTAGCCGTTAGCGGTGCTGCTAATGTTACTAGCTCTCCTCCTGTTGGTTAGCCGTTAGCGGTGCTGCTAAC